CGTACCTTCTCCCGTATTACTCGCATGGCCTTCCAAATACTCTATGGGGCCTACGTCAGACCGCTCCTGGAGTACGCCAAACAAGTTGTCTACTCAGGACGCACGAAAGACGTCACCCTCATTGAGCGTGTCTAGCAAGCCGCTGCGAGAATGGTTACCGGCCTCAAATCCGTCGACTACAAAACGCGTCTCGCGATGCTTGATCTCTTTCTCCTGGAGAACTATCGTCTCCGAGGGGACCTAATTCTTACTTGGCAAACAGGTTTTCTACCGTTGATCCAGCGAGCACGCGGCGGGGACATGGTAGGAAAAAGTTTTCAAGCTCAGAGCACACACATTCATTAGACAAAATGTTTTCTCATTTTGGGTAGTAGCTGCGTGAAATGACCTTCCTCCGACGGTTGTCCACGCTCCTTCCAGAACCCACTTTAAAGCCCACTTTAACCCACTTTATCGATATTGGCCACAATGGAGATAAGCCGAGTTTCCGTGTGAACTAAGAGATGTGCAAATACTTAGGGCACAAAATGCAGTATTTTTAAAAATTTTGAATGTGTTTTAATTTCTGGTGCCCATTCTGTTGATTTTAGCTGGGGAGAAAATTGATATTTTCGATTGTTACGTATGTATATGTTTAAATTTGTTCTAGTAAGATAGGGTGATAATGGTCAAACTAAAAACAGTGGAGACTGGGAAAATGTGAACCAAACGTGAACGTAGAGGGGCGAGGGGAAAACCTAACATTTGGGGTCTGTTTTCGAGTGTATAAGTGACGGTCGGGGTCACGCCCGGATTTAACAAGCTAAGCGACCCATGGCTGTGGCAACGCGCGACAAGGAAAAATTTGTAGTGAAGGCAGGAATCGCGCAGAAGTTTGTTTGATTTAATCGAACAGCGTGGATTTTTGGTAGGTGAACGTCATCTCTGGAAAAGCAAAATATCGATTGAGAGCAGTGCCACCGATTGTACTGTGGCAGGAGGTAATGTTAACTTGAAAGAGCGCCATTGAGACGAAATTTGAAGGGGCAAGTTTTATTGTAATACAAACCCTCCAAGGTACTGTTATTCGAAAATTCGTGGTAGGGTGCTGGAAGCATCCGGGGCTACCCGTCATTAAGGGGAGGTGGAATGTGATTTTGGTGTACTGCTGGGCAGACCGCAAGATAATGATTCTTTGGACTGAAAGCAAAGGTAAAGTGGGGAGGATCATCGGCTTTCAGCATCTCTTTTTATGACATCTACAGAGTGGAGTCCTTAAGGATTTGTATCGCAGAATGATCGCTTGGCGTGCGGCTTGTGGGTATAGGATTTCATGCGTGAGATCATGCTTCGCCAATCTTGATGTGAGCGTTAGCACGCAAGGCCATCTTGGTCATCCGCTAGTTTGTCACGCTGATCGCATCGCCCAACTGTCATTATGTTGCCGGAGTGCGTTTATTGAGCCGACCATTGCCAGATACATTATCAATGTCTTCTCGGCCTCCATTTGGGATGAGATATTTGTCCGAGTAACTGCCTTGGCATGGTTAGTACTGTGGTTAGAATGGTGACTATGCCCAATCAACTAGCTATACTGCACATGTGTGAAGAGTGCCTCTCACTGGTTGGAGTCGACTGGTCTTTAAACGCAGAGAACGAATGTATGCAAAGAAGCTATATTACCTGCTAAAAAAGCATATACACTCTCTAGCACGGGTGTGAAAGTCTGGGAGCATCTGCGTGTCGACACTACGAACTATAAATCAGTTACCGTAAGTGGTCCTCACTTTGTATGTTCTATCTCTATGATGGTGCAGCCTTGAGGGTTGTGTCCCCAGATGCCTTAAGACGAGAGAACATGTACACAGTCATTCAATAGGCAACTTTCAAGACTTGGCCGTTGCCATCCAGGTCGCAGTGGTACAATGCATGAATCTCATGTTCCCGCACGAGCCACTCGGCGTGCCGAGACTCCTATATCGCGTGCTTCAGTGTGCCTGAGTGGAGTACCCAGTTTTCAGTCAACCGTTTGGATTCGCCAGAACTCTGTTGGTCACATTACCAAAGTGAACCATCCCGGATTCTGAGTAGAGTACCCAGTTTTCAGTCAATCGTTTGGATTCGCCAGAACTTTGTTGGTCACACTAACAAAGTGAACCATCCCGGATTGTGCGCACACAGCCCATCTGCGTATGCTGCGCAACCAGTGGATCTTAAAATAGGAAACACCGCGGGTGCCGCGCATTAGTTGCAGACCTCTAATCTTGCATCATGATAAACAAGACATAATGTAGGGCATTGTCCAGATGAGCCACAAGGTGAAGTATGTGCCTGGGACATGTCATAACTTTCGAAAATTCGGTTCCATTGTGCCAATACTGAGCGTCGCTGCTCCTTGTAGCACGCGCGCATTCATTCATGTGTGTATTCGAGGTGGATTGCCTGAACGCTAAATTGCCTGGAGGCTGCTGCAGTCGGAGTTGCAGGAATGAGGTCGCTATTCCGATGAGGCGTTATTTGTTAACATCACAGTTGAGTTAAATTAAACTGGACCTTTGGGCACTCGTACGACCCTGCTCGAGGTCACCCGCCGGATCAAAACCTCGGCATCATGCCTTTTCCGGATGTTTCATTCCACTAAAGGTTTCTGAGGTAGTTTACCGTGACACAATAGCTCATTACCCCTTAGATAGGTCACTAACATGTTGCGGACAGCATCGTTAGTATAGGGGCACCGTGTTCGTGCTAAAATGATGTGGCTTCCACATTGGGTGTTTTCGCGTCAAGACTAGTTGGTGGGGCTCATCTGTCGGGTGAATCTGAGGTGATCCTGTAAGAGATGGCCACGACTGGTCGATAAATGGATATATACATTGTAGCGCCTCCATCATCCGGACACGCGGTTCACATCACGTGATCCATCGTATACCGACCCGTCGGATGACTCTCAAGTTTAAGGGCCACTGTAACGAACGAAAGAGTTTGGCTTCATGCTCTAGTTGGACTAATGATCGTCTGCTCGCTGCTGAATGATTTAGTCAAGTAGGCGCTTCCGATGACTCACCAGAGAGGATGTACGACTGACCAATAGCAAATGGATAGCGTCATATTGACAGCACAGTAAGTGATAGCGAGAATGGAGGACGACTTGAAAACGATCCTTAATCGAGGGATGTGTTCTCGAATATGCATATAGAACGTGCATTCTTTGTCGACTTCGAAATCTGGAATTCAGTATACCACATGTCCCCCGTTTGGAAGTCCGGCTNGATTCTGAAGAACATCAACAAGTTCAAGACATGGCACTGATGTACACGTGTCTTTCGAGGAGCACAAAAAGCCACACGAATGCGGTGGTAACCGGTCTTGTTGATACTAAACCACTGAATGGTGTTTAAGGCTTTTTTGTGATATTGGAGGACCTCAGAGCTAAATAGATGGAAGTAGACAAGATGTAGCTAGTGTCCGGGACTGTTCTAAACATCATGGGTTTCACGGGAACGTGGTTCACGCCAAACCTGCTTGTGTCTGGAATGACCTCGGAAGGGCACAGGGTGTTCCGAAGAGACAGTGGGGAGGAAGTTAGGGGTGGGATTTTCCGTGTTCTTCCGAACTACCATCCATTGCGAATTTTATTAGAGATCTCAGATGGAACGGGAGAATAAAACGACTGTGTCAAACAAATGAGGGCTACACGGCCATGAGATGGCTCGAAAAAGCCCAGTGGTTAAGGTGCCAGCTTGCGCACCGGAAAGCCCATGGTTCGAACTGAACTACTGAACTTCTCCCGGCTTGGACAAACTGGCAGTATGCCAGCTCCTTTGGCGTGACAGCTAGGCACCAAAAAGTATTACCCTGTCGTTATCGACATTAACATTCGCAACCGCTATCAGTTTTTGGTGCATCTCGCTGTCAGGAAGCTCATTCAAGTGGAGATTACTGGAAACCATTCTGGTATATGCACTCGCATAACGTATTCAAAAGCCAAATGAAGAACAAAAGTGTAGACGATACCGCTGCGTAATGTTTCCGGCTTGCGGTTGCTGAACGTGATGGTTGACGTGACTCGCCTGAGACTAGTGATTTAAAAAAACATTTCAGCTCAATTCTGGTGGAAAATCAAATCGCGTAGGCATTTCTGGCGTATGGATCCAGCGAATTTCTAATATGCAGCAGCCGGGTTGGTTAGGGAGAAATCGCCCGACAAAAAATATTGGTTTTACCTGGCCCTCCTTAAATGACGGATACAAGGGAGAGATGCCAATCGAGGTGGAGTCCTGGAATGAGCTCGCCTTCTCGTGCTATGCTTGTAAAAGACAGACAACCACGGGATCCCTTAATTCTACTCTAGATAGAGGTGATTACGCGCTGGACTGTACTGCACCGATTCAGACTGCAAGGGCACTGATCAGAATCCTGTGAAACCGAGGATTACAAAGGTGTTTTAATCTATATAAAATTTCATGTATACCTCGATGTAGGCTGCAGCTAAAAGTGTACAATTTGATCGCCTAAAGGTTAACCGTGACCACTGGTGCATTACTCAATACACTCGGAATATTTTTAAAATTTGAGTCTTGTTCTGCTCAATAGGTACTTGTTGTGCGCGGTTGCATTAAAAGTCGGACAATTATACCTTGCTCCCTGCCTCTTCGGTCAGGGCCTCAGATCAGCCCCCCTGGGTCAGACCACTGAGTCATCGGCTCCTTGAATGACCCCTAACAACCGCTGTCTCGCATTCCAGCTTTTTGAGTTAAAGGCTTGGTGAATGATCATCAAACAAAATCCCACATTCTCCCACCGATTCCTCTAGAGCAAGCTCAGTTGTTCCGCATTTCACTCCTCGGGTATCTGGTGATCCTGACGCAATGACTCGCGGTATGCAAGGTGTGGTAGCCAACTTAGCCGGAAGGCTGAAAATGCTCTACTGGGCTGGATCCAAGTAAACACTCATTTTTGTGCTGTACAGTTGTCTGGTTCAACTAAGATCATTGCAGGCCAATGCGGCAAATCAGGTTTATTTGTCGTATCAGCATACACATCAAAAGTCCTGAATCTGAGAAAGATGGTCTTTCGGTTATCTGTGGCGGCTGCTTCGGTCAGCAAGAATGACGAACGAATCTTCGTGGTGGGTGATATGAACATCCCAATTGAACAACCAAGCCCCATAGAAGCACACTCAGGTGGTAGGCTTGGAGTCGATGCTCAGCGTACAGATAATAGATGGTGACTTCAGTTATGTGCTGCACGTCGTGTTTTCCTGGCCAGTACGAGTTTCCAGCACAAACACTCACATCGAGTTACTTAGAGATCACCAACCACA